AACAAATCATAGTCCAGTAAATCTCACAAATTCGTAAAAGAGTTTAACTTTTGAAAATCATAGTTTAAACCCTTTTCTGGTACACCATCAGTAGTTCCCAAAATTATTTTCCATATAGCTTACTTTATGCACATAGCAAAAAGAAGGCCGACTTAAGGATAGGCTATGAAGCTTGTATCCTTAAGCCCAAGTCAATAAGTCCATATAGCTTACCCTAAGCACACAGCAAAGGAAAGCCGACCTAATGAAACATCTTGGGGCCCTCAAGAGTCACATTAGGCCCGTTTATTAGCTTGATCAGAGCTATACAATTGTAGTTCAATCCATCCCAAAATCAATATCCATATACCAGTCATCAAAGTCTATAATTCATCAACAATAAATCGGTGTACCAACAATAATAAACCATAGATTTCAATGTACCACATTTCAAAACATATAAAACCATTATGTAGTAAACAGGAACACACCTCGATAATGGGTTCAGATAGTAGATCTACTGATTGCTGGTTTCACCACGCTCTGTTACAGTTTTCGAACGGGTGAATACTGGTATACGTGGTTTAAGTGATCTAGAAGAGCTGGGTCGAGCTGTCGAACGATCCGGAGAGTCTCTTGTACCTTCAAACAATAATAATTAATCAACCCCAAATCTTACTTAATTGTTCAAAGCTAGAATTCTTAAGTATATAAGCATTTTTCGGGTTTGACTATCATTTTGGGGTATTTCGAGTCTGAATTTGGCCAAACGGATTGTGGAATCGGAATCAAGATGTCGAAAAACATAAAGTATGACTTTTTGAAAATTCAGATTCTTGGTCAAAGTCAAAGTCAACCACTTTGACCGTCGATTTAGAGGCCTTCGGGTTCGAATTTGGCGAAACGGAATGGATTCGGCACGTCAAAAACTATCAGGATATGAATACTCGAAAAATATTTACGGTCGTTTAAGGGTCGGTCAATGCCATTTTAAGTTTTGGTCAAAGAAAGTCAACGGTCACAGTCAACGGTCAACGGTCGGGTCGGGTCAAACCGGTTCAGACCGGTCAAACCGGTTCGAACCGGTCAAAACTGGTTGAAAACCGGTCAGACCGGTTTTCCAGCCCTCCACTCTCCCTACGGCGGCGCGTGTGGCGCGTGGGACGTCCTCCGGGGCCCTAAAAATTACGAAAAATTTTCTAAAAATTATTTTGAGCGATTTCGAGATACTTACAACAATCGGTTCAAATTTTTGAATGATGGAGAGCTCGATTTTAACTCGACCGAATCTATGACTGCTCCACCTCCTCACGCGCCACCGTCGACGGTGAACAAGGTTGACACCGGCGGACTCGAAACGGCACAAGGAACACGATGGTGCAGGAGGTGTCGTAAACAGAGCAACGATCGGCGGTGAATTTGAGATTTTCCCGGCGATAGAGCTAAAAAAACGTCGATGCTTTGACTTGAAATTCCCGACGTTTGGCAACGTTTCACTTCAATTAATTTAAGGGGATTGTTCCTGACTCAATAACGAACACGATGGTGATTTCAAAACGACGATCAGAATTCGAACGGCGTCGGGATCTAAGTCGGAAACCGGCGTAGGGGGAAGGAGATTTGGGGAGTGGTTTTCTGTTTTGAAACAGAAAACCACCCCACGTATATATCATCTAAAACTAAACCTCCAATTTCAATTAAATATTATTTTGTAAATATTCGGGTTGTTACACATTGTTTGCGCAGAAATCTCTGAATCTCCTATTTCTGTACTCTCCTCCATTGTCAAACCTCAACCGCTTGACTTTCAGATCAGTCTCATTTTCCACCATGGCCTTCCATTTTCTGAAGGTATCAAAGGCTTCTGATTTCTTCTTCAGAAAATAAACCCACATCTTCCTTGTAGAATCATCGATGAAGGTGACATAATATAATGAGCCTGCAAGAGATGGAACTGGAGATGGTCCCCATACATCAGTATGAACCAACTCTAACTTTTCAGCCTTAGGTGTCTTACCAATATTTGCAAATATGACTTTCTTTTGTTTGCCAAAGATGCAATCCTCGCATAGTCTGACATCTACATTCTTTAGATCCGGCAGCTTCCCTTTTGACAAAAGTGTCTTCATCCCTTTCTTGCTCATATGACCAAGCCTTTGGTGCCATAGGTTTGATTTTCCACCAGTATCTGCTGCAGTAATGATATTTTTTAAGTTTGAAGTTACATAGAGAGTACCATTCTTACCACGAGCAATTACGAGTGGTCCTTTGGTAATCTTCCATTCACAGCCTGAAAATGTTGTACTATAACCTTCTCCATCAAGCTGTCATACAGAAATCAGATTTCTTTTGAGACCAGGAATATGTCTCACTCTTGTCAGCTTTCAGGTGGTCTGGTTTGGCAGCTTTAGTCGGATGTCTCATTTTCCGACGATCTTCAAGGTTTCATCATCAGCTAGATGAACCTTCCCAAAATCACCACTGACATAGTTCTTTATGATTTCTCGGCAGGGGATGGAAAGATGCCCCTAAATCCAAGATCCATGATTCAATCGGACTGTTGACGCTTAGAATCATGGCATCACATGTCTCCTCTGTCACGTTGGTAGATTCCTGTGCACCGATATTTTTCTTCGGTGCTCGACAATCTTTTTTAAAGTGACCCTTCTTACCGCAGTTATAACAGGTAAAATTTTTCTTTCATGTTCTTGATTTTCCCCTTCTGGATTTGGATCTGCCACGATTTGAATTTCTTTATGAAGTTCTCCCTCTGGACTCCGTGTGCAAAACTGAGGAGGCTGATGCTTTACTCGATTCTGTCCGTCGAATTTCTTCGCTTAGTACTAGATCCCGAACATCGTCGAATTTCAATTTACTATTTCCCGACGAGCTGTTAACTGTTGTAACAGTAGCATTCCAACTATCTGGTAGAGATGATAATAGAATTAAAGCTCAAATTTTATCATCGAATTCAATTTCCACGGAACTCAACTGGATTGTGATTGTGTTGAGTTCATTTAGGTGTTGAGCCACTGATACCCCTTCCACCATCCGCAAATTGAACAATCGCCTCATCAAATGAACTTTGTTTGAGGTCGATGACTTCTCATACATACTGGAGAGAGCCTCCATAAGACCCGCCATGGTCTTTTCCGTTGCTATGTTGAAAACAACATTGCGGGATAACGTTAATCGGATAACTCCGAGGGTTTGTCTATCGAGAAGAGTTCGGTCTTCATTCTTCATGCCCTCTGATTGCTTTCCTGAGAGAAGTTGATATAGATTTTTCTGGTACAGAAAATCTTCAATCTGCATCTTCCAAAAGTCAAAGTTCGCACCATCGAACTTTTCAATTTTCACATTCCCTTCGTCTGCAGCCATCGCTCCCACTCGAATTTGGCTTCTTTAGATCGTTCTGACAATTTTCGCGAACCGCCGTGTATTAGAACACCTCTATTGACAAATTCGTATCGCCGACAAAATTTCACTATTCACGAAATTTACTATTCATGTGAATAGTAATGAATAGTAATCTCGTAAAAATTGACAAAATTCACAACCAAAAGCTCTGAATACCAGTTGTTGGAAAATAAACCGAGTAACGAGTAATTTCCCTATAACCAGATTAGTGAAAAAGCGAAATAAAAGCGGAAAAATAATACCCGAAATTGATGACGGAGTTCAACCAATTGTGCTTACGTCTCCAGACTACTGCAGATCTTTTACTAAGAGAGAAAATTTACAGGTGTTTACAAAACACTCACTACTCACAAGAAACTCTCTAATATTGGAAGAAATAAATGATTTGGGATGATTTTGATGCTAAATGAGCTAGGGTATTTATAGTTGAAGCTTAGGGACTAATCTTTGAAAATACCCTAAAATACAACGACTAAAATATAATTTAGCCATCTCAAAATTTTAAAACACATTAATTGCATCGAATTCGATGCATTAATATAGCAACAAAAGATCACTTCTTGATGATTTTGGTGGCCCCTTCTGCTCTCATTCTTGGACTTTCAACACCGAATGCCCGTCACTCCCTGCAAAGTTAGTCCAACCAACAAAAGGAAAGTTGGTATTGTTTTTGGACAAGCCAGCTGCATCAAAACTGGATGTTCTTCAATTTTATGAGTAGGAGGGTTTCGCAACCTGTTGATCCTCGTCCTCGATTTGATCTTGTTTCTTTTATATTTTATTATGGTGTTTCTTCTCTTTTATATTTGATGTGGGAAGTTTGGAATCCATTTTGTAAAGAAAGGAAAAAGGAATCAAAGTTGGGGTCTTGATGCAAAAGCTTCAGACATGGAAAATCAAAATATGACAATTTCCATTGTTGAAAGGATCAAAGTTCCATATATCTGTTCTATAGTAGGATGGCAAATAAAAATAAACACTTTAAATGAAAAGTGTTCTCCGATTACATTTATTAGATATGACAAGCAAAAGCTGTAGTTCCTATTGCTGGAGAAAAGGAAAGTATATATTCAGTGGAAGATCTCTTCAGTTAAAGAAGTGTAGTTCAATAAACTGTTCATAACAAAAGAATTATTGTACTGCTTCCAAAAAATAGCATATTCTAAGAAGATAAGATTTTAAACTACTTTTAAGCTTTATAAGAAAAATCCAACATTGAGTTGGATGTTTAACAAAAATCCAATCAATTATGTTCCAAAGATCAAAATGAATCTTTTTCCCCTCCCCCTTGCTATATTCTAGGATGGTACAGTCTGTTGTGTTTGCTAGAAGTTGAAGGAATTAATACTGAGAAAATCCTAAGTCAACAAGATTCAATTGATGCATTGGGTTTTAAGTCTAGATTTTAAAGGGGTAGATTAAACTAAGTTCACACTAAATAACCTCGAGTTCGCCTGTGACTTCCCTTTTGATGCCAACTAGTCAAAACCAAAAGAGGAAATGAAATAGTATTTTATTATTCAGGGTCATATACTCACAAAAATCACCATTGCTATATCTCCTCAAGCTCATTTAACTGATTCCAAAACTTAAAAGAGACCAAAATGACAATATATCCTTCCCCTTGTACTAATACAAGTATTTTCCCTGTTTTTCAATCCTATCATGCATGTATTCTGACGAAGGAAGGTAATGAATGAAGAAGCGCTACCTTCATATTTTAAAATTACCAATGGCTAAATGTTCTAAATCATTATCCATCTAATTATTCAGAATTTGGGGAAGTATTCCCTTTCAGCAGCCAATAGGGAAAAAATCAAATTCATTTACTTTCTTCGCAGGAATACGAGACCAGCCACCATGGAGAAACCGATGATTGCCACAGAAACAACCCAATATTGCTTTGTTAAATCCATGAGATTATCCGAGTAACTGTTAGTTTCCTTCTTGGAGGAAATTTCAAGCTCTGGGATGACTGGGATAGATGTGTCAAGCTCGCCGATGCAAAAGTTCTGCATGAGCTCTTTTGCACCTTTGCTGTGTCCAGCATCTTCAAACTCGTCCGTTGCATCTTTCCCTTCAAGGAAAATTATAGGAAGCATGTCATTAGAGGATTCATTGTTTCATAATCCAGACACTCTTGGAAGGAAAGCTTAATAATAAAAAATTATCAGTCAGGATGCATAAGAGTATCACCTGTTGCTGCAAGCACTACATCATCCCCTCCTGGATGATCATCCAAATAATCAGTAACATCATATACCTGTAAAGGGAAAAGTCACTTCATTTTCGATCAAGATAATAATTAATGGGAAGGATTTCATTTTACTATCATAATACAAGAGGATTAAACACTTTCTTGTCCTTAAAGGAAAATCAAGCATAAGTAATTGTCCATACAAGGTGTTAGGTCATGGATCTCATCACGTGCAACCAAAATTTTCTATAGACACAACAAGATTGATCCACACCTTTAGAATCATTACAATTATCCACATAATGTTCAAACACTAATGAGTCCGTCAGCAGCAGATGTCAAATTATAATGCAACTCCTAGGCTATTAAAACTAGTACATAAGAACTTCAAACTAGAGAAGCATTAATCAACCAAGAGACCAAATTCAACCAAGGGGAACAACTCTGACCCTGTGTCTAACTTCCTTAGTACTATTTGCAGGACAAAAACTGTGCCATTAGATGGCTACCATAGATGGGCATATGAGGCCACCTAAAATATTGTTGCAAGAATTTCTATTCCAAGTAAAACTAAGCACTATCAACAAAAATGAGTATAGTGAACAAGGAAGAATCCATCAAGAGATGACAAAATACAACACACTCGTTCTTCGTGAAAATGAATATCAAGCAACCGACTCAACATAAAATGGGGCATTATTATTTTTCCACTAAAATAAAAGTAGTGAATATAACAAAGCATATCATAACTTCGCACAAATATAATCACCATCGCTTCAAGCATAACTCTGAGCATCATGCAAATTCAAAAGTTTGAAAGGTTAGACAAAAAGGCCTAAAGTTGGCATAGTGTTAGCCAAGGACGAACCCGTTATTGGAATATCTAAAATATATGCGAATTTGAAATTTTCAGCCAGACCCCCTCGGTCCGTCCCTGGTGTTAGCCCAGATTGTGTTTTGTGTTCGACATTAATCTAGAAACAATTCCAGGCAATGTAAGATAAGGTATTCAAATACAAAGCACTAAAACGTAATAATGGGTATCAAAATGCAGTTTTGAACTAGCTGTAAACATAATCCATGAAAGGGGGATCTAATACAAGAAGCAAAACCATAATCTAAGGAGAGAGTTCATGACAAAAAAACAGATCTAATTGTAAACATAAAACCCAAACCAATAATTAAAAAGAAAAAGGAAAGACCTTGCCGTCAATAACGACCCAGCAATCCTCTTTGGTATTGTGCTGGTAGGCTTCTTCCATTGAATAAAGTTTCGTCAGAGTCGGCATGCTTTGAAATTGTTTCGCTGCTCTCTTTCAGATTCTTTTGGCGGCTGTCTCGGGACCGAAAACTGCTTATCTATAGACAAATTTGGAGCGTGTCGGGCACTCCTTGATTTGTTGACTAATGAAATTTGAAAGAAATGAGCAACCTAACAATGGCAGCGCACCACCATCAGCCCTATTGAGATGGCCGCTTGGGCCTTGGCAAACTGGTCCGACTACATTCAATGTTGCCTGTGGGCCTAATGGAATCGGTAAGGGGCATGAAAATATGCAGGGTATTTATATTGATTCATTTTGTTAGGTAGATCAAATTAAAAAATAGTTTGCGATAATAACGGATATTATTGTAATCAGTGTGAGTATCGTGATTATACAATAACGATTTCGTACGACCTTTTATTGTTATATAATGATCGCTATTTTAATAATGGATTACTATTTAAATCCTTAGTGGACAGTGTAGGTAAAATTTTATCCAGGTAAAACTGAGATACTGAAAGTTGGGTAAAAGGGAACTGAAAGAAGCTGTGAGTTTTTATCGTTTTAGACCTGGGAAAATATAAAGGAAAGTGCCAGGGACAATACAAAATGGGCTATGTTCAAATTTGTTACTTAGTATAGAAAGACAGTAAATATGACAGTACACAGTTTCCAATTTCGTCAATTACGAGATGGAACTATATAAATATTGTTCCATTTTCATTGCATTTTACACCCCCATGTCCATATCTGATGGTACAATCTTCCCTGGCTTTCCTTCTTTATCATTTAGCAATCCGTCCATTCCCATTTTCTCTATAGATTTTGCTCTTATTTGATTACTTCCCAAACACACCATTTATCCCCTTTATCGTATACAAATTCATCTCCAACACCCCCAAATTTCATTCTTCTTTTTTCCCAATGGAACATCCAAGAAATATGCCATTAATCTTATTTGCAGTGTTTCTGACCAGTTCTGCTGTTATGCCAGCTACTTCTGCTTGCTCTAATGGTCAATGCAAGGTTCCTACTTCTGCCATTTCATAATAGTTCTGCATTTGTTTTTAATTTTATATCTTAATGGTGTTCTTTTTAGCTGTAGCTTGGAGATGAATGTTCATCTGATGCAGACTGCCAATCCGGGCTGTCTTGCTTATCTTGTTCCGAAGCATTCAAAGGCAAGAGATGTATCCGATCAAAAGCTACCGATCAATTCGAGATTACGGTAACATTTCAGAAACAGATACCAAGTAATCTAAATGAATTCCATGTTTCACTAACATAGATTATCATGTCTTTGCGAGAAGAATTCTTTGCCATTCAACAGATATGCTTTTTTGACGACTCATAATTCGTTTGCCAACGAAGAAGAGCCGCATCATACTGGAATTCGACTTACCTTCGTAAACCAAGAAGACAGTGTAATGAAACAGTTAAATGTAAGAGCTTTTGCTTTTTTGTGGGAATCAATCATTTTCCCTGTAGTTCAGAATTCGCATTCTTGTTGATTGATTTCTTTTAAAACTTACAGAATGGAGTTCGAGCATTGATGCTTGATACATACGATTTCAAGGGAGACGTATGGTTGTGCCATTCTTTTGGGGGAAAGTGCCATGACTTCACTGCATTTGTATGTAATTCCCCGTTTGTTTTCATTTCATTTTTGCATCTTCATGGAGAAAGAAACTGATACCCCTTGAATATCTCTCTTTGTAGTGGCTTGCTATTGACACTCTAAAGCAAGTAGAGGCATACTTATCTGCAAATCCATCAGAGATTGTGACACTTTTCCTAGAAGACTATGTTGAGACCCCAAATGCGTTATCAAAACTTTTCCAAGATGCAGGTTTAATGAAGTACTGGTTTCCGGTCTCGAGTATGCCGCGGAATGGTGAAGATTGGCCATTAGTGAAGGATATGGTTGCCAATAACCAAAGACTAGTTGTCTTCACTTCAAAGGAGTCCAAGCAAGAAAGTGAAGGAATAGCATATCAATGGAACTACGTGGTTGAGAATCAATGTAATACCACTTCCTCAATTATTAAGTGAAATCTGTCTAAAATTATGGCATTCAAATACTTTTGTCCTAAAATTTCAGATGGGGATGATGGGGAGCATCTAGGAGAATGCAGCAAACGCGGAGAGTCGGCACCTCTTGATGACAAAACGAAATCTCTGGTTCTGATAAACCACTTCCATTCAATTCCAATCAAAGAACTGGTTTGTGAAGACAATTCAGCAAGACTTTTGAGTATGCTTGATACATGCCATGGAACAGCAGGCAACAGGTGGGCAAACTTTGTTGCGGTTAACTATTACAAGGTACACATTTCACCGGTCAATATATCGGTCTTCGATGAGTGGTTTCATAATCATACATCTGTGGTTTCTTCTCAAGTGAAATGACCTCTTTTTTTTTTTTTTGCTTGGGGTTCATTGTTGCAGAGAAGCGAGGGAGGAGGAGTGTTCCAAGCTGTTGACAAATTGAATGGCCAGTTGTTATGCGGCTGTGATGATGTCCATTTATGCAAGGTAAAATCACCAGAAGTTGCTGTAATTTATTGTCTGATTGAATGTATATATAGGATGAAAGCATATTCAAGTGTATCCATACTTCTTGATTGCAGCCTGGATCATCATCTGCAACATGTTCTGCAATTAAGGGCCAGTGAATTTCGTTTTCATCTCTTAATAACTTACATGGGAATCCAGAGGTTTGAGGTTCACATACATAATGTTTACATAATTCAAAACTACAAAACTTGAATACAATTGAATTATACTAATTACTTGAATACATAATTCAAAACTAACAAGTTTAAAGCTAGTGTATTCCTGAATTTCATGTATTTCCATATCACCAATTCAAAACAGAAAAAATTCACTTTTAGCAGACTCAATTGCAGACCAGAAAAACCATGAAATTGCTGCAACATTCACTTAATCCCCACAACTGACTCCAACTCTCCCATTGTTAAGATTTTTAAATCATCAACAAAACTCAGATGGGGTAAAATATGAAAAATCCTACTTATCCTCCATTTAAAGAGTCTGAAAATTTTGAGCTTGAGATGCAACCTCTAATCCATTTGACAAATAAATCTGAAAATCCACTTGCTTCAAGGACTGAAAACAAAATGCCAATTTTGATAACCAAAAGTGTTTTTGTAAGTCTATCTTCAATGCACATCTTGGGGAAAGAGTGGTCCTAACATAGCCTTTAACAAGTTCATGTGCAGGTAAAATATTTTCACTTATGCTTCTGCCTACGAAGAAAGCAATCTGATTTTTGGAGATGATTTCAGGAAGAAAATCACTCAATCTTGGCACCAAAATCCTTGTGACGCACATAGGCCTAAAATCCTTTGTATGACTCGGACTGGGCTTTTTAGGGACCAAAACTAATGTTGTAGCATTAAAACCTACTAACAATTTACTGGTTTTAAAAAGATGCAGCACTGCTTCTGTTGTATCATCCCCAACTATGTTCCATGCTACTTGAAAAATAATAATGGCATTTGTCCCCATTTTGGGCAAACATTGCAGGTTTTATCAAAGATTCATGCACCGGAAACGTGTTTTCATAGAAATCATGTTTTCATAGAGCAATCTGGACATAATTTTCAAAGATTCATGTATTGGAAATTATTTAAAGTTGATGTACGTTACCTTAGTAAGTGCACACACATAATATTCTTCACAATTTCAAAAGATATAACATAAAATGATATAGCACCAAAGATAAGATACACACCTATTTCAGTGTTAAGCGGCTCTTGAATCACATAATGTGAGCCTTTTCTCTAATATTAGTCGAACTAGGTTCAGCATGGTCTAATCTTACATTGAAAGAATATGATTTCTAGTCACTATGAACCTAAATCATTAATCTCAAACAACTTAACCAACAAAATTTTATTACTACTTAAACACTCCTGAATTTTCTCAAATACAACTTATGCAATTTGATTCATTATCAATTATTAACGATAAAAAAAATCAATGTTCAATGATCAACGAGTCTTTGATCAAGTTACGAGTTAAACCAAATTGAGTTATGAGCCTCGGATCAGTACAGGGTCTAGTTTAGAAGAAGTGAGCATCGTTTCTAATCTAGGCATTGGGCCCAAATAGAGGTGATACAGAATGGGAACATGCTTTAGTGTGGGCCTACTGCTAAAGGCCTTTAGGGCCGGGTGATGATTGTTTGGGCATTGGCTCAGGGCGAGGGTTTGCAATGAGACAACAACTAGGGTTACTGAATGGGGCTCAAGCGGTGGTGCAATGGCTAATATGATAGAGCCTCAATTTGCGCAACGGTGGGTTGCAATCTACATTGAATCAGGGGGAAATTAGGTAAAAACTTATCAAATAAAAAATGTGAGTGACCAAACCTAGGGCAATGCCACCATGTGAACTAGAAAATGATGCAAGGTGGAGGTACGATGAATAGAGATGTAAAACGTGTTGCGTTCTTGACGAAGAAGGCTAAAGGTGAATCGATTTTCGACGTTTGAGATCTTGATCAGAGTAGAAGAGATGAGCGACGACAGAACTTAGAAGGGTGATGGGCAGTACAAAGGACGACGTTCATGACTTTGATGGCGACAAACTAGAAAAGACGATAATAAAAAGTTGGTTAGGAACAGAGAGAAAATTATAGGGTAAACTCCCAATTATTTAGGATCTCTAAACATACTACATAATTTTGCGTGCTTCAATTTATCTTTAAAACTGTAATCATCAATTTTCAAAATGAAAAGTCAAAAGCAGACTATACCTGCTACCATCATCCTTGTTTCCTGCAGAAATTTACACATGATCAATTTATAATTTTTTTATGTTGAAATTATGTAAAGTTTAGCTATAAAAAAGCCAAACAAAAATGTATGAGGGGGGACGATTTTAGTAAAAAAACAGTGGGCTTCTTATCCCATATTCGAAGAGAAAAAAATGTGTAAATTAGGGTTTTTTCCTCCCACGCTAAGATGAATACAAACGCATGTTTCTCTTTTTCATCGAACAAAAGCAATCCACAGAATCAAAAGGGATGTTATTTTTAGTTTTCATTCTCCATTGCTTTCATAATTTCCTTGTGTGTGCATGTGTGTTTCGAAATAAATAGGAAATAAAAAAAATAGAGAGGGATTGGGGAATTACCTGGTTTGTGCTAGCGTTGATGGAGTCTCCTTAACTCCATTTCCTCGCCGTTCAGTTTCCTTTGTCAAAGAATAGGGGTGAGGTTTGAACCATAAACCATAAAGAAAAGAAAACCCAAAAAGAGAGAAAAGAGGGAGAGGGAAAGAAATATTCACGAATAAATGAGGCTGGGAGGGGAAAAGTAAAGTTATTTTGGGTTTTGAGTTAACTACACACTGGGTCCCCAGATTATAGGTGCTTTCTGTTTTGATCTTAATGGGTAAATCGCATCTCAGGTCCTCCCAGCTTCAACGTGTTCTACACTTTAGTCACTATTAGAGTAAAATCATTTTTAAGCTCCTCGTATTTCAGCTTCTTTTGCGCAATGGTCAATTACTTTGTTATTTATTTCGAATACATATATTGATTTTAATAATTTTTGAATTTAGTCACTGTTTATTTTTTATTTAGTTACTAACTTTTATTTTTTTTTCATTTTAATCACCGTTATTTTGTATTTATGTAATTAAGTCTTTATTTTATGTTTATTTTATTTTTTATTTTTAATGTTTCTTATTATCTCTTGTTTTAATTATTTTTAATTGTTTTGTTTCATAGTTTTAATTCTAAATTTAGTTTTAAATTAGATTAATATTCGAATCAAATTTAGAAATTAGGACGACACTGTAGTTTTAATTAGGGAGCAATTTGAGTCGAGTTTTCGCATAAAATGCCCGATTACTCGAATCGATTGCTCGAATTTTAAAATTTATTAATAATTAATATTTACTAAAAAATCTAAGTTTAATAACTTAGATTAATTAGATTTCTAATTAGTCCCCTAACTTTAGAAGTTGTCGCTTAAGGTCTTTAAGCTTTTAATTCTTTTAGAACTCGATATTTTAGATCTTGACTCTTTAGTCCCCAAATTTTGATTAGAATTTTATTTTTAATATAATTAATTAGGATTAATATTAGAGCCTACGTTTTTTAGATTTAAGCGCCTAGGTTCCTTAATTTTCATAATTTGACACCTTAAGTTAGAAAAAACCTTAATTTACTTTTAGTTTAATTAGAATGAATAAAATTTTGTCTGATTGCATTTTATTTTAACTTTAAGGCACTGTTCACTTATTAAGGAGTTAATAGTATATCCTCCGCGATCGTGCTCAGTGGGTGACTACTGGTAATTCCCTAAATAAGTTGACATCCTTTTCAAAACCACATCATGTTTTCTAAAAACGAGGCAATGTTCGGTTATTAGACACAATAGTTGATCTCCCGCATTTACGCTCGGGAGCGAATATTATCGGTCTCAATAAGAGAATATCCTTTTCAAACTCTACATCCTTAATTATTTGTAAATTAAATAAAGATCGAACTCAGAATTTCTGATTTTAAATATAGGGTTACCAACTAGGTACCAATTTTTGGGCGCTTGTGGGGGTGTTAATCCTTCCTCACGCGTAACTGACTCCCGAACCTGATTTCTAGATTTTTACAGACCCCGAAACTAGGTATTTTATTAAAATAAGATGTTTTATTAAAATCACCCGGTTTTTGCGGTATTCCAATCGCACCTTAAATGATTGGTGGCGACTCCTCACATTTCGAAACGATTTTCAAAGAGAAAACCCCCGAGTCGGTATCGATCTTTCCCCGCCCAAGTGAAAAACGGTATCAACAGCTTGGCAACTCCACTTGGGACTTTTTGTTTTTAAAAACAAATTGAGAGTCGAGCCACGAGTTGGTTACCCTATATTTATTATTTTGGAAATTACGAGTTCGATCTTATTTAATTTATGGTTCATTATGTTATTTCAAAAAAGAAAAAACAGATTTCTTTCTGGTTAATGCTTACACTTCTGTGAATATTTATGATTGTTGCATATCATAGCTTTAAACCCGAGCTCTAACCCGGTTTACTTAAGTAGAGAGAAACGTCACACCTCACGAGAGCATTGGGCTTCCTTGTTTGGGTCTGATAAAGTATCTCTGGAAAGCACCCTAAGTTGCCTATCTGGATATCAGATCCGAGGAACGCTTTTAGTGGTGTGATCCCCTGAGCTGAACCTGATTCGCAAGTCTGTAATGGGCCAGAATCAGGAGCAACCTTAGTAGGTTGTAAAGATGGCTCGGAAACCTTTCCTAGAACCCAGCCTCATATAGAGAATTTAGTAAGCTTACCCCGCTAGAGTCATGTGGGTAGCCTAGGAGAACTAGAACGCATGCGGTTAGGATTATTAATTTTCTTTGTATGCCTTTTTTAGTCTCAACTTAGAGTCATATTTATTTATTTTTGCTAAGATTACATTTTTGGACTAATCATTTCAACTAACTTGATTATTTTTGTTTTGTTTCTACTAACATTGGTTTCCTTTTGTCTGCTCTTATTGTATTTTTGCTTGAACATGACATATCATTCAAAGGTATTAATCCTTAAATAACTGATCATTTAGAAGGCTCTTGAAAAACAATGCCACATCAATGCCTTTCTCTAGGATTGGTAGGATTTCGATGATGCTCCACGTAGATCGAATATCGTCAAAAGGGAGTCTACCTACCAAGGAGACA